TTATTGAATATTATTATTTTCTTTTTTTATATTTGTTTTGCTTGTTGTTGTTATTGTTGTTGTAGTCGGTTTTGCGGCATATCCGTGTGGCCATTCTTGTTGTTCCATGTGTCGTGTTGCATGTGAGTCCGCGATTGCTGTTGTTCGCGTCGCAGTTGCTCGTTTCATATTGTTTCTCGTTCTGGTTTTGTTCTATGTTTGCTTTCTTTTCTTTCTTTTACAACAATTGGCAGCAAGGAGAAGGCTTCGCCGGCTCTTTCACGTCCATCTGACGTTGTTTTTTGCGTGATGAAATATCCCTGATTAGATCGAAAAATACCTGCAGAAGAGCACACAGTGACATCGATTAATAACATGTTGTTAATTATTGATTATCATTATTTATGATTACTCTTTTTTTGGGGGGAGGTTAATTTGTTCTAGAATTACAAAATTTTGAAAGTGTCTAAAACCGAAAGCAAAAAGTTTCATACACCATAAGACCAAATTGAAAGAAACTAGAATACCAAAATAAAAACCAAACTAAAACAAAATACAACAACAAAAAAAAGGAAGAAGAAGAAAACCAAAGTAAATAATAGTACTTAAGATCTATGCGGGAATGTTGGTTTGTCTTCAGAAATTAAATAAAAATATGCCTTTGCAAAAATGACATATTTACAATATTTTTGCCCAGACTGCAAAACAAAGAGCTAAATTTTTGCTTAATATTTCCAAATATGTAAATAAGAATGTTGCAGTCGGTCGTATCCGACTTTAGGGTACTCATTTACGGCTTAAGCGTTGACAGACTCACTGTCCGATTTTCCACGGACGGATAGACGGACAAAACAAAAAATATACTCATTTCACTTTTGTGAATGAGCACAAAAATAATATATTTTCAATTGAATTCAGCCTTTGCTGCTTCAGGATTTGTTCTATGCTCAATTTAGTTTGCAGTCTTGACTCTACTTCAATTATTAAATTCAGCTAAATTTACCAAAAATAATTTACATAACTTTAACATATTTATATGCATATATACATATATGTTAAGTTAGTGGCTGTGTGTACATGTGAACTGTTGAGCCTGCATAGTCGATGTTCTTTATAATTGAATTATAAATTGTATTATATATAAGTTGATCAGATTCCTTATGAGTCTAACATTTCTTAAACTCTTAATTGTGTAATATTTCAGTTGGAAAAATAAACTTTAATAATGCTAAACACAAAGTTTTACTGTTATAATAAAGTGAAACTTTTTTACAAGGCAAAATTGATGCCAAATGTAATTGGCTCCAGATTACGAGCAATATATCGATAAATTTGATATCAATAAATATTGTGAATTTTTTGAAGCTAAAAGAACCATATACAATTAATTCATGTTTATACAGTAAAATCTTATATTAAGTTACACTTTAAAAGCAATATATAGCGAAAAAAGATATCGATATACTTATTGTACAATTGCTCTTTGCAATAAAAACAAACTATATATGATTTTGATCACATTTGATTTTAGTTGACATTGGAAAAATAAAAACTCATTTCTGATCTCTAACAAGTTGAGTTTAGTATATAGTTAGAAGACAATATTTCGATAAATTTGATACCGATTTGAAGCTAAAAAGAAGAAAATATTCTATATAATTCATATCTTGTATAACGTTGAAATAACATGTTATTCCACTCAAATTCGATGGAAAGAAGATATCTTAAAAGACAAATAATATCGATAAATTTGATATCGACTAATGTAACTTTATAAATTCTCTTCTAAAACTAAAAAGAAGAAAACACCCTATATAATTAGTATTAATTTAAAAGTTTTTGAAGTTCGATGGGAAGAAGATATCTTTCTTTTGAAAAGTCCGATTTAGCTTAGTATACAATATAATATATGCAATATATTACCAACACAATATTGATTGTAAACATGCTAGACTCATTAGGTAGTTAGTTTAGTGAGTCGGTTAAGTTAGTAAATATTGTAGTCGACCGATATGTAGGGTCTTTCTACTTATTATTAGTGTTGTTTTGTTGTTAAAGTGGAAGTAAAATAAAAATTTAATTAATTAA